AGGGGGATGTTAGAAAGAACAAAAAATGGGGAATTTAATTTTTTTCACAGGAAAATGAAACAGAAAAAACTGCTTTGGATACAGCACAGAGCCAGTGAAGGATATACAATAATACTTCTGAAACAAAAGGGAAGAAAAGAATGCCCAGAAGTTTGTGTATAGGAGAACCCACCCAGTAGTTCTGCTGTGAATATCAAGAGGCAAGGCTAGGTCTTTCTTCATCAAATGAAAAGCCTGGAGAATGCTGGGCTGGTAATGTCAGCAGATCCATTTACCTACTCAGAACTCATGTTTCCACTTTCCTTTTGAGTTCACAAGGGTGATCTGCTAAGATGGCTAAAGTCTCTGGGGACTTTTTTTTTTCTGAGAGAGTCTTGCTCTGTTGCCCAGGCTGGAGTGCAGTGGCGTGATCTCAGCTCACTACAACCTCTGCTTCCCTGGTTCAAGTGATTCTCCCACCTCAGCCTCCCAAGTAGCTGGGATTACATGTGTCTGTCACCATGCCTAGCTAATTTTTTTTTTTTTTTGAGATGGAGTCTAGCTCTGTTAACCTCCGCCTCCCAGGTACAAGCGATTCTCCTGCCTCAGCCTCCTGAGTAGCTGGGATTACAGGTGCCCGCCATCACGCCCAGCTAATTTTTGTATTTTTAGTAGAGACAGGGTTTTACTGTGTTGGTCAGGCTGGTCTCAAACTCCTGACCTTGTGATCCGCCTGCCTCGGCCTCCCAAAGTGCTGGGATTACAAGTGTGAGCCACCGCGCCCAGCCTAATTTTTATTTTTAGTAGGGACAGGGTTTCGCCATGTTGGCTGGGCTGGTCTTGAACTCCTGAGCTCAAGTGATCTGCCTGCCTGGGCCTCCCAAAGTGCTGGGATTACAGATGTAAGCTACCACGCCCGGCCTCTGGGGATTTCTTAATTTACTGTATTTTGTTCTAAAGGAGGACCTTTGATGTTAGCCAGTAGTACAGTATATTGTATAGAAAAAAGGATAGAGGCATGCATAACAACTATTAGCACAAATATATATGTGCATTTTTCTCTTCTAGCACTGATGTTACTCCTGTCAATTAGCAGTTGTGACACACATTGCTTAAAATCAACAGCTGATTCAATAATTGGAAATATAAACTTTATGAATAAAAATTATATAATAAATTGAAGATTTCTATAAGTTCACCCAAAAAGTATAAAACCTCAGCTAATTACATTCTCCTTTGGGATTTTATTCTTGCTTTTTGCTTACAAATATTTTTGAATTTATATTCCTAAAGGCAAAAAAAAAGGGCACTTATACTAAAATAAGCAACTTCTTTTTCTTTATTTTTTTATTTTTTGGGGGGTGGGGGGACAGTGTCTGGCCCTGTTGCCCAGGCTGGAGTGCAGTGGCACGATCTCAGCTCACTGCAACCTCTGTCTCGCGGGTTCAAGCAATTCTGTTGCCTCAGCCTCCCGAGTAGCTGGGATCACAGGCACATGATATCGCGCCCAGATAATTTTTGTATTTTCTGATAGAGACAGGGTTTTGTCATGTTGGCCAGGCTAGTCTCGAACTCCTGACGTCAGGTAATCTGCCTGCCTTGGGCTCCCAAAGTGCTGGGATTACAGGCATGAACCACTGCGCCCGGCCTATTTATTTATTTATTTATTTATTTATTTATTTATAGACGGAGTCTCGCTCTGTTGCCAGGCTGGAGTGCAGTGGTGCTATCTTGGCTCACTGCAACCTCTGCCTCCCAGGTTCAAGCAATTCTCCTGCCTCAGCCTCCTGAGTAGCTGGGACTACAGGCACGCGTCACCACGCTCAGCTAATTTTGTTTGTTTGTTTGTTTGCTTGTTTTTTGTATTTTTAGTAGAGGCAG